TGTAATGCCCATGGAGGTCAGAAGAAGGCATCAGATCCCCTGGAACTGCAGTTGTTAGCTGCCATGTGGGTGCTGGGAATCAAACCCAGGTCCTCAAAACAAACAGCCAGTGCTCTTAACCACTGAGCCATCTCTCTAGCCTCACAAACTCTTTAAGTTATGTGTCTGTGCCTATGTGTGAGTATTTGCAGGTGCCCATGCCCAGGGTTTTCGGATCCCCCAGAGCTGGAGTCACAGGGAGTTGTAAGCTGCTGCTCATGGCTGCTGGGAATCAAACCTGGGTTCTTCAAGGGGCAGTATGGACTTTTAACCACTGAGCCATTTCTCCAGCCCTGTATTTTTATTTAATTATGTGTAGATCTGTATCTGTGTGGGGGTCTGTGCATGTGAGTGCAGGTGCCTACAGTAGCCAGAAGAGGGTGTCAAATCCCTTGGAGGCATAGTTATAGGCAACTGTGAGCTGCTCAGTGTGGGTGCTGGGAACAGAACTTGGGTGCTGTGAAAGAGCAGAACATCCTCTTAGCTACTGAGCCTCTCTCCAGCTCCAAATGACAAATTCTTAATAATCTAAAGCTTTTAGAAGATTATATGGCATAATGAATTCTGAGTTGTAAAAACATGTATCTTGTGCAGTAACTTTTCCGTTCTTTGGGCTGAGCTAAGTCAGCCAGTTTCTATCTTACCAGAATGGTACTAATTTCATCTTAAATTCATATTTCATTCAAAAAGAAAACCTGACCAGGCATAGTAGCATGCACTATTAATCCCAGCACTCAAGAGGCAGAAGTAGGCAGATCTCTATGAGTTCAAGGCCAGCCTGGTCTCCATAGCAATTTCCAGGCCAGCTGAGGCTACAGGGAGACCCTGTCTCAAAAAGATAGGAAAAAAAAACAAAAATTCCAAAAAGAAAACCTGGCCCTTGTCACTTTAAATCATATTCATAAATATCCTGAGCAAGTAAGTTCTCAACTTGGACCAGGAATAAACCAGCAGCTTCACTATTACGGAACACGTTTCTAACCATCCAGTCATCGTGAGTTCGTGTTTACTAGCACTCTTAGGAGTTCTGGGTGTACATAGCTCCTAAATACTATGACCATGGAAGGTAAGTGACTTCATTCTAATTTCACAAATGAACAAGACTGACACTGGGCGTGGTGACACATGCCTGAAGTCCCAGCACTCAGGAGGCAAAGGCAGGCAATCTCTGTGAGTTCAAGGCCAGCCTGGTCTACATAGTGAGTTCCACATCAGCTGGGGCTATAGGGAGACCCTGTCTCTGAAAAAAAAAAAAAAGAAAGAAAGAAAGAAAGAAAAGAAACTAAGCTTTGTCCATTAATTATAGATTTATACATTCATATAAAAAAAATCTCAAAAAAAAAACCCTTTAGCCCAACTCTTGAGTAGCATAGAAGTTTCCAAAAGACAAATTAAAACAAAGTGGCCATTATAGGAAAAAAAACTATAGAATATTTTAACAAAGATAATTTGATTTTAGAAAGAAAAAAAATCCCCTTTTCTCAAAGGAAATATGCTTTAGAACTGTGCATCATGAGTCTGAGAGGTCTAGCATCTTTCAATAGCATTTCTAGGGGCTGGAGAGATGGCTTAGTGGTTAAGGGTGCTTACTGCTCTAGAGGAGGACCCAGGTTCAATTCCTGGCACCCACATCAATTGTTTCACAACCACCTATAATTCCAGTCCAAGGGATCTGATGCCTTTCTTTGACCTCCTCAGGCACCTGCACACACATGACATGCATTCACATAGACACACACACACATAAATAAAAATAAATCTTTCAAAAACTAGTATTCTACTTTCATGTCACTATTGCTAACCATCACAAAATCAGCAATACTAGCAGCTGCCGCAGGCGTCTTCCTCTACCCGCGCCCCCTTATTCTCTCACTAAACCTGAAGCGCATCCTTTCTGACAGGCTAACTGGCCAGCAAGCTCCCAGGATCCGTGTGACAAGGGCTGTCAGCCTGACAACTGTACGTGCCTGTGTAGGATGGTCTTGATCGTGTTAGCTGAGGTGGGGAGGCCCAGCTTAACTGTGGCAGGACCTGGGCTGCGCACATGGAGAAAGTGAGCCAAGTACCAGGCGCGCATTCCTTGCTCTCCGCCTCTTTACCGTGGACGTGACATGACGAGCCGTCTCCAGCTCCTGCCGCTCTGACCCCTCACAGTGAGGGACTGCAGCCAGAAACTGTGAACTGAAACGAACCCTCTCCTCTAAGATGCTTTTGGTCAGAGTTTAGTATCACAGCAACTTGGAATAGAAACCAAAACAGCCTGCTTCTGCCCTCCAGTGACTGGGTAACAAGCACCCACAGGCTTGTACCTAGGTGCTGAAGATGTGAACTCGGGTCCTCATGGTTGCAACGCAAGCACTCTGACCCACCAAGTCATCTCCTCAGCTCCCACCCCCTTTTTAATGTTTGTGTGTGTGTGTGTGTGTATATATATATATATATGTGTGTGTGTGTGTGTGTGTGTGTGTGTGTGTGTGTGTGTGTGTGCGCATGCGCTCTTGCCATGGTGTGACTGTGGAGGTCAGAAGACAACTTGTGGGAGTCCGTTGTTTCCTTCCGCCATGTGGGTTCCAGGGACTGAACTCAGCAGCACACTTGGTGGCAAGTGCTTTGAATTCTGAGCCCTTACCAGCCCTTCAGTGTTTTTTGAAATGAAATCTCACTCTACAGCCCAGGCTGCCTGGAACTCACTATGTAGTTCAGACAGGCCTTAGACTCACCATGGTCCTCCTGTATCGGCCTCCTGAGTGCTGAATTACACACGTGAGCACCTATCCCCCTCAAGATTAAACAGCTTGCTCTAGGTCATACTCACATACTGGCACCTGTATTTCTGCTCTTCAGGCTAAAGACAAGCCTGGGGACTTCATTTCAGGAACTAGAAGGGTGCATGTTAAATGCACACCTTATCTGGTCTTTTTTTTTTTTTTTTAAGTCTTTTTGAGACAGGGTCTCCCTATAGCCCCAGCTGTCCTGGAACCCCCTGTGTAGATCAGGCTGGCCTTGAACTCCCAGAGACCCCCCTGCCTCTGCCTCCCAAGTGCTGGGATTAAAGGCTTGCACCACCATGCCTGGCTCTTATCTGGTCTTTTACTTACAGTAAGACAAGGTTGCACCACACACCCACGGGGGATTAGCATCCCAGAGAAACTGCCTGATGACTGGTCTGCAGGCCGGTCAGTATCTCTGACCCTAGTAGCCTGCCAGTTGTCACCTGGATATTTAAGGTATAAGCTGTCTTCAACAGCAAGCTTTAACACTGAGCAAAACTAAGACATTTCTCTACTGCAGACAAACACTTTGATTTCTTCAAACTTTCTCTGCCTACAGTCAATAAGGGAGAAAATGAAATGTCACCCTAAAAGTTTCCTGTCTCAGCGGTCACATCGGGGCACAGCTGTCACACTGACAACCAGTTTCAAAAAAAGGCCCCGGAACTAAAGAGAAACCCAAAGCTGCTTTCACCTCTATGCTGGAGTTCTGGGGCCCTGGGTGCTGAGTGAAACTCAGAAAAGCCTGCAGCCTCACAGCAGGGCAGCTAGGCCCACAGCACACCCCAGCATCTATGGGAAATCAAAGTTGGGAAGGCAGGAGCAGATTCCTCTGCACACCCAGCATGGCATCTCTGCCGGCTCCCTTTCCTTTCCGATAACCCAGAAAGATAAAGTCTTCAAGTTACATGGCTTCCTCTAAGCAGTCCAGACCGAATGACTCCACTGGTTCCCTGCAGAACCCAGTTCACCTAGGCAGCACTTCTATTGTAGATGGCAGGATTCAGGGAAGAAGAAATTCAAGTTGATTCCCCATCCAATATGTGCTAACCACTGTGAACTAAGTTCCCCCAGGTGGAAGTTCCATGGCTATAGAGTTTGAGTATCTCACACTGAAAGCCAAAATGATCTCAAGCTGTCTTTAACAGCCATCCCACCTTTTTATTGTTGATTCTGTCTTTGTTCTTTTTTTTTTCATTTATTTGCTCTTCTATCTTCAGCCCTCTTAATAGTCATTCCTTGCCCACCTGTGCCTATGCTAATATTCTTGTGACTATCCAGTAAAACCTTTGGAATATATTCACCTAGCTCCCACCAGCCTAAAAGCCAAGAGGGTCACCAGCCAGCAACTGGACCATCTAACAGAGTTGTCCCCACTTTGCTGAGACCACCTGCCTGACGTTCCCACCAGCGTCACTGGTAAACGCACTAATGTATGACATCCCTTTGTTCTGTGACTACAAAAAGTTCGTGTGACCACGCCACAGTGCAGAAGGTCATTAATGGCTACCTGAATCTGTGTTCCTGGCCATGGTCACTTGTATTTAGTTCAGAATAAACCATCTCATCCTCTGAGTGAGAGCTGTGTTTTGCAACACACTATTTTTATTTTAATGAAAAATGTGGCTTACTCTTTGGGGACAATGTCTAAAAATCTCATAATCCAAAAAGTCCCTAGTTGCTTTGGCTTCGGCCTGGAGTTGGACATTCTGCATGACCTCTGCAACGCAGCCAGTAAAGGAGAACCCATTCGTGAAGGGTCAAACAGCTCACGTGTATTTGCCATTTGTGGGTCCACCCCAAGGAGGTCTTTGCACTCTTCACTGCAGCAAACATCAGGAAGCCAAGCTCAGCTCTTTAAGAGAACTTCGTCGATAAGCAAGAAGCAGGCCTAAGCCCTGAACCAGTGATTAGAACTGACTACTGGGACTGGCATTACCCCTCACACTGGTGCTCTAGGCAGTTCCACACAGAACGCCAGCCAGGGCTCCAGAAACCAGCCGACCAATCAGGGTGAACCCTCATGGTACCACTAAGCACTCCAGAAAATCAGAAGGAAAATGTCTCCCAAGAGATTTGAAACACGGCAAAGATAAACATCGGTCAGGCCTAACTGAGAGAAAGCTGCACACTGCTCCTCAGGTTGAAGACCGGAGAGCTCGTGGCTAGGTTGGAGGGAGGCGGGCTCACCTGGCCGGTGTCTGTTCGCTGCTTCTGAGGGAAGTGAGCTGCCTTGGAGCCTCCGAGCCCCAGTCTTGCCACCGGTTCCGCCAGGATAGTGGTGGATGACGGAAGCAGAGCACAGCCCTTCCAGGGCAGCTGCCGAAAGAGAAGCGAAGGGCATCAATAAAGGGAGAGCCCAGACCTGGCTAGGAGCACCCTAACCAGCAGACGATTTGAAAATACCAATTTTCCCAATTAAAGATCACCAGTTTTAGGCCAGGTATGGTGGTGCACATCTGTAATCCTAGTCCTAGCACTCAGGAGGCAGAGGCAGGTGGATCTCTGTAAGTTCAAGGCCAGCCTGGCCTACAGGGTGAGTTGCAGGCCAGCCAGGACTACATAGTGAGACCCTGTCTTAAAAATCAGAAAAATAGAAAATAAAAACTTTTGGTCTGAAAACTCTTTAACAAACACTCTTTACAAAAAACCATGAAAAGTTTATGTGTATATGTGTATGTGTCACATCATAACAGAAAATAAAACTGAGGCTTCAGTTTCCTCCTTTTCCTCTGATACAGACATTTAGGTGTTAAATTGCTTTATAGTAATACTAAGCCAGTCATAGGTAACCTTTCTATAAAAAGTAATCCTTTTCAGAAACAAAAGTAGCACACTGGAAGAGGCCTCTTTTACACGGCACAGATGTCTCTACTGTGAGCCAGCTGGAGTCTCCCTCTTGCTTTGATATTCAAACTACTGCCATGCCGCTGTGATATCAGGAACATTCCAGGCACCCTCTAAGTGGCTGACGGTAAGGACGCACATGGTGTCTCTGTGCGGCCACTACTTTAGAGCCATGTCAGCACTTCTTGGGTGGTCTCATGAGCTGGCACCATCCCTCCTGGGCAAGTGTCTACCACACAGACTCTAGTCTTAAAGAGCATTGGGAGACAGTCACAAGCCCACCACTGACTACTGGCTAGTAGTCAGTGTTCATAAAGACTACACTCAGCGGGAATTCACAGCGAGACACACCTGCTCGGCTTTCAGCTGCTCCTCTCTGCTTCCCTGTGGACTCACAGCTCTCCTGCCCTCTTTTCCCACTTTTATCTCCGTTCTCTTTAAGAAGTTGAATTAGGGGCTGGAGCGATGGCTCAGCGGTTAAGAACACTGGATGTTCTTGCAGAAGACCCGGGTTCAAATCCCAGCACCCACACGGCAGCTAACAACTGTCTGTAACTCCAGTTCCAGGGGATCTGACAGCCTCTTCTGACCTCCACAGGCATTGTACAACACGGGTGCACTTACCTACATGCAGGCAATACATGCATAACATAAAATAAAAATGATAAATAATTTTTTTTTTTAAAAGAAGCTGAATGGGTGTGGTGGCACACGCCTTTAATCCCAGCACTCGGGAGGCAGAGGCAGGCAGATCTCTGTGAGTTCTAGGCCAGCCTGGTCTACATAGTGAGTTCCAGGACAGTTGGGGCTACAAGGAGACCCTGTCTCAAAAAGACCAAAATTAATTAATTAGTTAATTAAAGTAAATAAAAAAAGAGGCTGAATTAGGATTACTTGATCCCAAACCTGAAACATGTCATATGTTGGTGTTCTCTGTTAAACTTCTACAGAACTTCATTACTTCATTCTAACTGGTTTTATCCCAAGTGGCTGACAATGCCCCACATACTAAAGGGGAAAGCATTACCTCAAGAGAGAGCCCTAGGTTAGCCCCTGGGCAATGCTCATCTACTAGGAATTTACTGGACACCCACAACATGCAAGATGGCAGACCCAACCATGTGAAAAAGCCCAGGTCCTACCAACCTCCTAGCCCAGGAAGCAGACACAGTAACACTCACTTGGAGACATTCTGCATGGCTGCTGGGCCACAGGAAGCTCTTCCCCCAAGTGGGTGTTTTAATTTTTAAAACTGAGCTACAATTCACATTCATAAAACTCACCCACATAAGTGCACGAGGCAGCCGTTTTCAGCATAATCGGCTGCACCACCATCACCACTATCTGTACCAGGATGTCTGTGCCCATTCTCAGCCCCTTCCCACTCTCTCCATCCACCACCTGGTAACACTGACCCTGCAGCCACTCCTGTAAGGGCGCCTTTTCTGGGCATCTCCAGTCAATGCACTTGTATGTGACATGGTGTTAACACAATGCTTTTAAGGTCTTCCAGTGTTGTGTGAGGAGTTTCTTTCTATGTGTATGTATGTGCATGGAGGAGGGGTTGGGGGGTGCCTGTGTATGCAAGCACATGTAGGGGTCAGAGGTCAACCTTGAGTGTTGTTCCTCAGGAACCAGCCACTGTGGTTGGTTGGTTTGTTTATTTATTGTTTCTTAGTTTTTGGCACAGGGTCTCACCACATAGCCCCAGCTGGCCTGGAACTCTATGGAGACAGGCTAACCTCAAATTCACAGCGATCTGCCTACCTCTGCCTCCTGAGTGCTCAGATTAAGGGTGTGCACCATCACGTGTGGCCATCGCTGTTTTTTGAGACAGGGTCTCTCACTAGGAACTGGGCCTTGCCTGACAAGTCTGGCTGGCCAGTGAGTCCAGGGATCTACCTGTCGGGGTAGCACTGGGATTACAAGCACCCTGCCCCCTATGACCTGCTATTGTTTTCACATGAGTACTCAGTTCAAACCCAGCTCTTCATGCTTGTTGGGCAAACAGTCTACTGAGCCATCGTCCCAGCCTGACATCAGCACTTCATTCATTTTTGCAGCTGAATAAAATTCCATCCTATGTCCATTCCAGCTTGTACATCTGCTCATCACCTGATGTATGCAGGAAATACCTGCACTGGAAAATGAGTATTCAAGGTAAGGGAGGACATGGCCAAGTGCAGCCTGAGCAGAGCCCAAGAGGTGCCAAGAACAGAGGCAGAAGAAAGCCTCCTTCAGAGGATGCAGGTAAGTGCGGAGGGGGCAGCAGATAAAGCAGGAGAGACCGCACAAAGCAACCGGCCCAGGCTGCCCAGTACCCTCTTTCGCCTCTGACTATGTTCTCACACTTGAGTAATGGTGGACACACCCACGTATCAGATCATCTGGCCAGTCTTACCCCCTAGCCACAGAAAGTCGTTCACTGAGCGGAGAAGCTCCACAGACATGTGGTAGTGCACCAGGGCATCCTGCAGCATCCCAGCCTGGAGGCACAGGTCCCCCACGTGCTTCCGCATGCGTCCTTGGCACCGCTTCTTGTAATGTCTAAGAGATAAAACGCAAAGGAAACACCTCATTATTACTGCTGGGCTCCCACCTGCAAGCACACAGGCTGAACACAATGCAAATTTCTCACTGCTAAAAAATGCTAAGAGGGCAGCTTTAGGCTCTAAGGTTGAAAGCCAGCAACAACCACTGCCAGTTACGTGAGCTACAGGGACCTGGCTTCAAAATGTAGTGCCAGTGACTGCTTAAAGTCATCCGTATGCAGGACTTCTAGTACAAACATTGCAGAGACAACATCCAGGTCAGAGTGTTCTTTTCAGATTTTCCAATTGCAACGTGATCACAAGAAAAGTTTGTCTCATCTTTAAAAAAAAAAATTCAATTATCTTCCACTTTTTACCTTCAGACCTATTATTATAAAGAGAGATGTGTGGTATATTATTAGCCAACCATTTGACTTTAGCAAATTTGTCTTCACAATTTCAGAGCAAGCTTTAATACAGTTTTCAGGGTGGGGCCCGGGGGGTGCTCACTAGGGCTCTTTAAACACTGGCAAAGACATGCTATTAAATAATGCACAGCTTCAAGTCCACATCAAGGCAAAAACCAAAGCAACTTTATTCTTTGAAAATATTCCTCACATCTTCAAAGATATGATTTTTTTTAAGAGGTTAATAGCCAGCTGTATTAAGTGGAAGCAATCCCAACAAGATTGAGCCCCTCAAGGGGTCCAGGAGACAGGAAGCACCTACCTAAATCAAAGTGACTGGCAGATCCCGACAGGAAGTGAAGCCATCAGGCCCAACTCGACCAGCCTCTCCTGACTCTCCAGCTACCCTAGCTTTTCTGCTAAGATGAGACATGAGGCAGAGGTGGGGACACACAAGCCTTCTTTCTCTAGCTTCCTCCCTGGCCACCAGGACCAGCTGCCAACAAGCAACACTGCATCAGGCTGCTCCTCCATCCCCAGGAGACATGGCCACAGCTGAGGCCTACACACTGGTCTCCCCCACCCCACCACCACAGTGCCACCACTCACATCCCCCTACACACACAGCCAAAGTAGCCTTCCCAAAGCCCAGTATGTCGCTCTTCTGCCTCAAACCCACCCCGAAGATTCCCCAGCACAGATCCAGAGAGACAGAGGACTCCATTAGACTCCACTGGTAAATCTCTAAGCTATGTCAACTCCCCATGTCCCAAGTGGGCCTTCCCTGCCTCTGGCCTCTGTGGCCAGGTATCCTTGCTGTGTCCCTTGGAGCACACGGAATCAATCCCTACACTGTCTGTCCAAGGTCTGCCCTATTGTTTATGATTCAACATGAGTGGATTCTCACCCACCCCGACCACTGCTCTCTGGAGAGGCCACAGCAGAGGGAAGCCCTGCATCCCCTCCCTTCAGCCAGCCTCTCTGAGCCCTGATGCCCAAGCCCTCCAGCCTCCTCCCATCCAGGACTGAGAACGTTCAGTCAGAGTGCCATCCCAAGCCTAGCCCCACAGCTTGAGCCTTTGCACAGGCTGCCCTTCTCCTGGCTGACACTTGCTCAGTCTTCAGAACCTAAGGGTAGGACACTACAACTCCCCAACCTGCACCTGCAGCCGACCTTCTGCAGCACATCTTCCGTGGCCACTCCCTTTATCTCTTGCTGAGCTCCCTCTGCACCAGGGTGGCACAGTCACTCTCTTGGGTTTGCTAACAAGAAAAATATAGCAAGCTAAGTCAACTTCTTTATATAAATACTGTGTGTGTGCATGTGTGCACATATGTGTTCACAAGGACATACAAGTATCCTTCCCTGCATACGTGGAAGGCAGAGCTGAACCCTGGGTCCTCTGGTGCTCTCAACCTCATTTTATTGAGGCTGGGTCTCTCACTGAACCTGAAGCTCACTCACCGTTTTTCTGGCTAGGCTGGTGGTCAGCAAGCCCTGGGGATCTTCCTGTCTCCACCTCCACCCCAGTGCCGGAGTTACAGGAATATGACCATACCCAGCTTTCTTTATTAGCATTATTACATTTTATTTACTTTGTCTGTGAGATGTATGTCACTGTGCTCATGTGTGGAGGTCAGAGGTCAACTTGCAGGAGTCAATTCTCTCCTCTACCATTTAGTTCACAGGGATCAAATTCAAATTGTTAGGCTTAGCAGCAGGCACCCCTACCATCTAAGCCATCTCACCACCCCCAATGCCCAGCTTTTTATGTGGGTGCTAGAGACCCGAACACAGGTCCACATGCCTGCACAGCAAGTGCTATTACTCCCTGAGCATCCCCAACACCTCTTTACAAATTTTTTTTATATTTTATTATTTTTATTTTATGTGTATGAGTGTATTGCCTGCATGAGTGTAAATACACCCATGTCATACAGTGCCCGTGGAGGACAGAAGGCATCAGATCTCCTGGAACTGGATTTATGGATGGTTGTGCCACCATGTATGGTGCTGGGAACTTAGTGAAGGTCCTCTGCAAGAGCAGCCAGTGCTCTTAACCACTGAACAATTTACTCTAGCCCCCAAATTTAAGTTCTTTAGTATAGAACACACTGCCTGGCCATTACAATAATTATTCAACTTTGCCTCTCCTGATCTTCGTTTTAGAAGGAATAGCCCAATAGTTCAGAGCAGGTATTGTGAGATCAGACTGCTTGGATTTCACTTGCCTCTCTTCTTGCTATAACTGACACTGTCATACATTATTTGTGTGACCTTGGGCCAG